TAATGTGATAGATGGTTCTTGTAAATAAATATGGAAAGCAAGTCGTAAAATCTTTTATATCAACAAAAAATTCCTCTCCCCGTTGATTATTGTTGATCCTTCAGTTTTTGGTCATTGTTGATTATCATATGCCTATTTGGTGTAAGAAAACCTAGAAATGCACTTCTGCCTTCTTGTAAATCTTCTAAGGTTTCTTTCAAGTAGCCGGAAAACTATTCTTCCTCTTATTGCTGTAATAAATCTTTGGAAAGGGCATTTCCTTTTCTGTTAAATTGTCGGACATAGGATAAATAGAAACTATGCTGACAAAGCCCTCTAAAAAGGCCATCTTCTACTTACCCTGTCACTTTAGGGGACTGTTCAAACGAAGAGGAGGGGGGTGATATTTGAAGCTAAAGTCTTTCTTCGTTTTGAAAAAAGTAAAGAAAAATTGTTGTCACAGTTATCTGCAACTCGATTGAGGAGTCAGTGCGTTGAGAAGGAAATGTTTTTGTAATTGTTTTGAATGTTGATCGAAGGAGTTGTCTTCGTAGAATTGGTTTGGCTCTACATTACGCACAAAATCAGTTCATCTTCGCACAAAAATCAGATCAGTAATCTTAGAATTTAGGCATTATGCAATTCTTTTGAAATTTTAAATAAAAAGTAAGGATTATCCAAAGGCTAAGAATATAACTCTTTTTGTACAAAAGTCGAGAAAAATTAAGAAGCCCAGTATGCTGTCATTACTCGCAAAAGAAACAATTCAGTACAAAGAAGAATAATATAATCCTTTTATGTAAACAAGTTTACCGAGATACATGAAGCTCCTCGGCAAATTAAAAATGTTTGTAGTCATAATATTTTGTCTTTGATACCAGCTTATTGTTTGTACTTTACTATAAAGTATTCTAAAATTCAAAAGCATTTCCTCTTTTTTACAAATGAAAACAATTTATTACCGTTGAAAAAAAAATATAATCTTAAATTTCTTATGTGTATTTAAAGAATTTATTTCTAGGAACACGTAGGTAAATTGATAAATTATTAATATTTCATTTACAAGTTCCATTAGGATTAAAGTAATAAGACGTACCTCGTAATTTAAATGACGATCAAGTAACGAGAACGTCAGCCGAGCTAGAGCCCCCACTTCTAATATCCACACCATGACAACGTAAGGATTTTGACTTAATGCGTATCATCTCTGTTACATGATGGAACCCCTAATCATGATTATTTTTCAATGAAAAAACATGAAGGGACTACAATGTGGCACTATTAAACATGTGCCAACATTTATAGCCTTAGAATATTCACATTTTATAGCATAATGCGAAACACCTACCTGCTGTTTATCTCATTTATTTGCCACAGTAAATGTTTTATCATAATTTTCAGTATATATAGGAAGAATTAGGTCAAAGGAAAATATAATTTTAATTTTTGAAAAATATTTGTAAATAAAATTTAGACTTATTCTAAGGATTCGTTAAGTATTATGAATTCTAATATATCAAAACAGAATGGATTCTGCAAATTTATTCTAAAAGAGAAAAACAATCATAAAATCTATAACAGTACAGTTTCCTAAGAATCATAGTTGATTTTTGACGATGTCCATTGGTATATATATGTTGCAAATATGTACAACAACTTTTAAACAAAACACATATTTCACGTAATTTTCTTCTTGATTGAAGCCGTATGCAAGTGTCTCAAAGTAGATATTTTCATTTAAAAAAAATATAGAGCTTCAAAGTTTTAATTAGAATAATTCTTGAATAGAATTATTCTTTAAAGATGTAAGAAAATATCTAAATTTTACATTATGACATCATTCTCCATTTTCTTTTCTTTTATGTTATTGATTATACATTATTATAATTAATTAAAAATTACATTAATTTTGACACCTGCGTAAATTAAGTTTGTGTAACAAATTCCTGCATTTAATAGAATGAAAAATGAGTTTATAATAATTTACATATTTTAATGCATTTACTGAAAATCAAAATATAAATAAGTTTTACGTAACAAAATTTAAAAATATTTCCAATTTCAGGCCGAGGCTACCAAGACCTACATTAATAAAATTTCGTATGTACCAGGTGTATGCAAATTAAATGAGACGATTGTTTTTAAAAAAAAACACAATAAATTTGCGAAAACTGTTAATATTTCTTTATTCGAAATAATACCCATCGCTAGCTACACATTTTCCACATCTTTCGAGCAATTTGTGAATACCACGCCAAAAAAAAAAATGATCGGTCTTTTTAGGCCAGCCAGTCATCAAGCCAAGATTTGATGTTTTCGTAAGAAATGAAGCCCTGGTCAGCCAATGCGGGTCGTAATGATTCAAATAGGGGGTAATCGGAAGGATCCAAGTCTGGCGAATACATCGCATGGGCTAAGGGCTCCAAACCGAGCGCCTTAACGATGTCCGTGGTCGGTTTAGCATGGTGGCTAGGTGCGTTGTCATCAAGGAAAATCACTTTGTGCTACCGTTTCTTGTATTGCTCGCGTTTTTTGAGTGTAGCATCGTTCAAATTAAGTAATTGTTGCTTTTAGCTATCAGTATAAATGGTTTCGCCGGGTTTGAGAAGCTCATATAATAGAGATTGGTTCCTCCTGATCCCAGAAAATACACAGCATTGTCTTGCGGCCGAAGCGATTCGGCCTTGCGGTCGATTTGGACGGCTGTCCGGGGTCAACATATGATCTATTACGCTTGGGATTCTCAAAATAAATCCATTTTTCATCGCCAGTCGCAATACCATGGAGATATGACTTTTATGTAATGACTATGGTTTTTTATGTAAATTTCAAGGAAGCCTATCATCTGAGTATGAAGGGTTAAATAATGAAGATTTCTTTCTAGCTTTACAGCATCCCCTCCAAAAAGAAATGTTGAAAAAGTTCGGAGAAGAAATCGTTTGTGTTGATTCTACACATGAAACCAACAGTTACAATTTTAAATTAATAATTGTGCTAGTGGTGGATGATTTTGGTGAAGGTTTTCCTGTAGCTTGGTGCATATCAAACCGGGAAGACTTTACAGCCTTAAGAAAATTTTTGCTTTTAATTATATATATATATATATATATAACACAGATACCAGCATCACCTCCAATTTCTTTATGAGCGATGATGCACCTGCTTTCTGTAATGCTTGGTTCGATGTTTTTGATTTCCCCGTTCAAAAAATATTGTGTTATTTTCATTTTGACAAATCAATTAGGAGTAAAATCGAAGCATTGATTATAAAAACAAACTGAAAGCATGCGAAGTGTATAAGGCTATTACAATATTATTTTCTGAAACAAACGAGCAAATATTCAGGAAAATGTTCGTAAAGTTCTTAAACAATTTAAAAGAAGATACAGATACAGACAAATTTTATCATTATTTTAAAATACCTATAATAACAGAGAAAAGGAAATTGCCATGTGTTTTAGAAATGGTTGCAAAATCCGAACCAATAACCATTTGGAGTCCTTCCACAAGGATTTTAAATACAATTATCTTTCTGGCAAAGTTAATAAGCGTTTGGACTTTAGCATTTATAAGCTTAAGGAATTTTTCAAGGACGAAGGTTGTAAGCGCATCATTAAGTTAGAACGTGGGAAGATAACTTCTCAAAAAAAAAAAAAATCAATTGAATTGAGACATACAAAAAGTTTAAATCTGAATGCTTCCTTAATTCAAAAAGAATCCAACAACTCTTTTATTGTAAAAGGGAGTGCATCAGATCATAATGTAGAAATTGCTGAATCCAAATGTGCAGTCAAAAGCCATTTGAGATGCAGTAAATGCTCAGTATGCATTCACGAAATAAAATGCTCTTGCCTGGATAGTGTACTAAACGGCCTTATATGCAAGCATGCACATTTAGTTTGCAAAACGCTTAAAAAAATCAAACGATAACTCAGCTAGCGTTTCGGAAGAAATTGCTATCGTTTATAAAATACTTTTAAATCCTAGGATTACAGAAACTTCAATGACAGATTTATCGCAATCTGCTTTTAAACTGCTTGACGAAAAAAAGTCAATTTTCCAACCTAGATCCAATATAACACAAAGAAAAATATTGAAGCAAATAAAATGCTGAAAATTATTAGCAATTCTTTTCAAATAGATGATTTGAAATGGTTTTACCCCCTCCAAACTCTGGAAACAACAAAAATGTAACACGGCAACGCTCCTTTTTTTCTACTAGGAAAGAAAGAAAAATTTCTCACACCTTTCAAAACCCTCATTTGAGGAAAGTAATAAAATTCGAAAAGCTTTAATAGATGATGATGTAACCATTCCTGAGTCTGATCATCAGGCTTATTGCTTACCATCCCAGGTAACTGAAGAATTAAAAGATTCAAACGTAAAACCAGCTAAAAAGAGGAGATTAGAAAATCATAAATATTTTGTTCTAAGCACCCAACAACAAAATTTTTTAAAATATAATTTAAATAAAAATGTTTCAGATTCTCTACTTTCAAAAATAAAGGTCTTTTTAGTGTATAGGATTTCAAACCTGATAATGAAATTACGGATTCTATTATAAATCATGATTTGACATCTGTACAAGAATTATTTACTACACAAGCTTGGGAAGAAGTAGAAAAAATAATTACATTGAAACAAAATTTTGGCGTTGCAATCATTGTGAAAGTGCAACGACTTTAAAAAATATGGTTCAGTGTGATGATTGCAGTTACTGGTACCATTGGAAATGCGTAAATTTTAAGAATGGGTCAAAAATTAAAAATTGGATTTGTCCAGATTGTTCTATAAAGTAAAAGATTGCGATGAAGAGGATTATGGCTCCTGGTGATACCTCTATAAAAAACCCCATCGAGATTCCTACCTCATTGTGATGTGGAAACGGGATCAAAATCATAAATATTTTTAACTCGCATTGCTTAGTTCCCACATGTAATTAATTATTTTTAGAGAGAGCATTCATTACTTAAATTTAATTATTCCCGGGAAAATAGTATTGTAAAAAAAATAAATTAGGCCATCCCAGGAAGGATTTGAACCCACGACCTTTGGATTAAAAGTCCAATGGGCTACTCATTGCTCAACAGGGACACAACGAACGATTTTTCTTTCTATGTATGCTGTTGGACTATTATTTTTGTTACTTTTTATTCATTTTTTAAATTTAATTAATGAATTAATATTTGAAAAAAAACGGTATAAACATCAAGGGTCATCCACTGCTAGTTTAAAAAGATGTATTTGAACTTGAATGGATGGATAGAAAGTATTTTATTAACGATTGAAAAAGAGTGACCTAGTAGTAGGAATTAAATAAGAAATAAACAACATTAAATATAAGCATTCCTTTAATATAGTTAAAAAATTAAGATTTTAATGAGAATTTTGCCCTTGTAAAGTTATACTTAATGACGCAATATCAGGGGTATAGTTTGTGATTTTCAATTTAACACATGATTCTAATGTTGAGTTGTTACGTGAGGGGATTCAGATTTTATATCAGAATTTTTTTTTTTACCCAATTACACCAATTTTTTTAGAATTTTAATGGATAGGCTGGTTAAAGAAATGTATAGAACAAAATACTCAAAGACTATTATATTTTTGAAAAACTTTTTTTCTTAATTAATGAATAATTTAGTATTTGTGTCAGAAAATATTTAAAAAAAAGATTTATCGTGTAATTACGAAAAAAAATTTAAAAATTAATTACTGAATCTAATTGTAAAGAGATGGAACTATATTTATTGAAAATTCGGTAGAGAGTTTTCTCATCCGGTATAGAAACGAAATGTGATTATAATTGGAAATAGATTCCAAAAATAAAAGAATATTCGCGATATTTATCATCTAGTTATTAGCCGTCATGTAGAAGTATTGATACACGTTAAACCTATTGAGGCTCAAACGTCTTCTCATTGGTGTGGTGTGAAAGTTAAGACAGGGATGCCAGCTCAGGTGTCGTCCTCGTCACTTGATCATGGTTCAGAATTACGAGGTTCGTCGCCAAAAGTCTTCGTGTAGCTGAACAGAGCGACATTAATTGTCACACTCTCTCTCTCTCTCTCCAGTTATTGAGATTTTCATTGATTTGCAATTCTATAAACGATTTTAGAATATCTCTATGTAATGCTAATAATTTAATATATAATAATGGTATCTGTTTGCATTATAATCATTTGCTCATACTAAAGGGGAAAAATGTTTATTCCTTAATATATGTTCTTTGTACATTAAATTGTGTACTTTCAACTGCTTTTTCTAATTTGATCATTTATATTTTGTAATCAAATATTATTCCTTAACTCAGTAGCGCAACAGCCCATGAAAGCCAAGACCTACTGTTCCCATCTCAGTATTCGTGACCTTGGGCGCTTAGTTGCGGGAGCAGATGCTTCGGTCAGGTGGTTAATATGCGGTGAAACTCCCAGTGTTTAGTTCCCAAGCAAGCATGGCGCTCATTTATCGACCCACTGAAAGGATGAAAAGCTGAATCAACCATGCCCAGCCCGGGGTTTGAAACTCGCACCTGTGGTGTGGAAGCGTGATGCACTACTACTCAGCTTTAATCTTAGTCCTAAAATAATATATTTTCTGTGTGTATGTGTGATCAGCTTGTACTTTTTATCAACATTTAACATCTTTAAAATGTTTTACTTTGAGTGAGATTCAACGAATTTGAAAACTAACATTTTGTTCAAAATCTGTATGTCATCTATAAAATTTATAAAGTTTTGACAACATTTTATAGCATCAAAATCAATGTTAATACTTATATAAAAAATTTCTCTTAATATTACCTTTTTCTATTACAAAGTGGTAAATGTTTACACAGTCTCTAAAATCTTAAGAATAAGTAAAGTGTTTATTATCAGTTATAATTTCTTTTTTTTTTGTAATATAAAGAAATTTTCGCATCTTTAAACAAATTTCCCTAAATCCAACAAATTTTAATTTTTAAAAGCCTGAAACTCAATGTCAGCATCTCTTTTGTTTTCCAATTAGGTTGTATTAAGATGATTCAATGCCAAGAAATAACTTTCTCATTTGAAAAAATCCAAGCAAAAAAGCAGGCGTTATTTCATATCAGAAATCATTAATTCCATACAAACTCACCCGCCAATCCAAAAAAAATTATTACTACAGTTAATAATAAAACTTGTTTATTGAAAACTTAATGCACATTCTATGATCATACTATAATTTCAAATATTTTTCCTCAGTTCCTTATGCATATATTTAAAAATATGCAATTTTTTTTAAAAAAAAAACGCTTAAAATCGCATTCATTTTTGAGCAAGGAAATTATCCAAAAAGAGAGAAAATACAAGTGCAGCTCTGTAAAAGAGTCGTGGTTAATTGCCCCCACAGGCGGGGGGAGGGAGAGCCACCCTCTGAAGAGGGGAGGGAAGAGCAGGAACAGGAATGACGTCACTTACATGGAGGGAGAGAGATGCTTGAACTTGTTTTCGATTTTCGACCACGACCTTGAACTGAGTGGGGAAGAAGCAAAGCGAAACAGTACTATTGAAATTGAGGCACCACGAATTCTAATGTTTCCGTGTTATTTAGCAACCAATATCACAATTAGTCAACAATGTATTATATTCTAATTTTAAACTATTTTTAGATTGTCTCATTTCAAAACTATTTATCAAAATAACTAATGTACTCGTGTATGTGATCAATTGTATAAATGTGTTTTAAAAAAAAATGCAGTTTTTTTGCAATGAATTTACCAAATTTGTTAAAAGTCATGTGTTTTACAAGTCCCAATTTCATTTAGGTTATCCTCTTTTTGTATGATATCTGGTTATTTACACGCTTCTTTAAAAAGTTTATATAAATATATACGTAATGCAATTATTTATGAAATCAAATGGCCTTTTGTTTCAGCAAAAAATGCTACAGTTGCAATTTGATAAAAATTATCTGTGTCATCACTCATTTTGCGATATTCAATGCTTCACCATAATCTCACACACTTTGCGTGATTAAAATTTTATACGCATGATTTAGGATTGGCACAATTTACTGTATTTAACATTAAATGAAAAGTAATTGATATACACTAGAGGACTGTGAATATTATCTTTGACTCAAAAGTAATTTTTTTCCCACTTCAGAATTTATCAAAAAGAACACGGAAGAATAACAAATAGAAGCAATACTATTATATTGTTGAATAAATAAACTGTTTTCAGAGTATATGCATGTTTTGAAGATTTAAGAAGCAGAAAAAATAAGATTATCATCCTTACACCCCCCTCCCATTAATCAGTAAGAATCACGCTTTTATGACTGTCTAAAAAGTTTGGGAGGAGGGTTGGAACTCAATAATTAAATTTAACAGGAATTTAAGTGTTATGTCCATTATATGTGTTTTAAAAATTTTTAGGGAAATTCTTAGAAATAAAATTTTATTTTTATAATTAGATACATTTCTAGGGATAAACTCTATTTAAATTATTTAAAATTAGCAAGGGTATAAAATTACGGCCAGAAAATCTAGTAAAAAATTCTAATCACTTTTTCTTAAACAAAATTAAAACATGCTTTGTAGACTTAAATTAATATAAATTTAAAAGTGCTCTTTTTTCGTAATTTGTAAATAATTGGCTGTATGATTTTTAACATAGTAGATAAATGCATCCCTTTTATTTAAAATAATTTACTATAAAGAAACAATTGTGTGAAATTGTGGTTTCTATTATTGCTAAGGAAAAAATATTTCAATAAACCTTTTCGTTCATTTTATGGGCTTTTAAATAAGGGACTTTATTTTTAATTCGGCGTTTACTATAGTTATTTTAGAAGAGGAAAGCATAAGAGGGTATCCTATGATTTCTTCCGGAACGAGAATTCTTGCATTTTAAATTTGTGAATTTTTAACTTTCTCTTTATAAGAAAACTTATTGCGTGTAAATTACACTTACGTGTAGAGAGAATTTAGGCTTCTCATACAATTTAATTAAAAACTATAACACAGGCAGTATGTAATTCAATTTTTGTCTTGCTCGAACTCGAATTTTATTAGGTACAAAAAAAGAACTGCTTTCACAAATATGTATTTATATATGAATAATTACCTTTAGCAGTAACATGTAATTGAAATCCACTTTTTCATTATTTTATTTGGCATAAATTTAGTCGAGTTTATACATTATATGTGTAGATATATGATTATACTATGGAATGATATATACTAATTTCCGTTTGAAAATGAGTTTAATTCATAATCTGATCTCGCTTTCAAGTATGAGCAAAAAATTGTTTCTAGTTAATTTTGGAATTCTGCTTTTTTATTTTTACAGAGAGAGAGTTTGATATAAAGTGATAAAATATTAAGCTTTTAAAAATGTTTCGTTTATATTAAACAAAAAATATCAGAGAATCTCGATTCATTGTGAGAGTGAAAACCATAGCTTCCGGTCAATCCGTCATTCGACTTGTATCATTATGAATATATATAGTGTTACGAATTTTGTGTAAATAATGTAAATAATTTGTATTTGAGTATTTAATGCATTTATATTACTCTATGTTATATTTATTTCATGTTAAAATTGTACTATTCAGAAGCAGTGCCGCCCCTTACGTTATGATGGCGATTGAATGAGAACTTGGCGAAATCTTGGCGACAGAGCCAAGTTGGCATCCTTTTTAGAGACCAAGTTGGCGGTAAATCTGGCGACTTTGGCGACAATTTTGGCGTCATTGGCGAGATCGGAACCCTCTGGAATCTTCTAGAAAGTAGATCTCTCCACTAGTGTCACGTTCAATGACACGAGCGGTTATATTTCTAGAAATTTCTGTCGCGCATATAAAAAGGATCCTTGCCGGTACGGCAGGGAGTCTTCTTGATTAAGCCCGACGGTACCCCTTCGGGGACCGAAGCCCTTCCATTAGCGCAACACCCAACCAGAGAGCTCCCTCTCGCAACGCGAGAAAGGAGCCAGGAAATCACTGAGCTACACACCCACACAACATATCACGACTAGCTGCTACCCCATTGGTCAGGCAACCATCCAGCCCAAGGCCACTATTAGCCGACAGTTACTGCAAGTACAAACCAAAAATAAATATTTTCC